GAGGGAGGGAGGGAGGGGAATGTGAAGCATCCCGCCACTGGAGTCTTCCTGTTCAATAAACCTTCTCATGCAGCTTAACTAAAATATAGAGAGATTCAAAGTTGTTCACAATATAACATATTCTCAAGGAACATTTCAATATTTTACTGTACTTAATTGATTAGGATTTTTTTTCACTGCAAAGGTATCATACATTAGAAACTAAGATTTTCAGCTTTAACCAATTAAGCTATAATCAGATATCATCAGACACTTCTGTTTTTTGTCTAAGTTGAGTAACAAGGATCAGATTTTCCCTTCTGCCTGAGCAAAAAGCAGAAAAGCATGGACTATCTGTTATTTGGTTTGCTGTTCTGGGATTAAAGATCATGTACACTAGGCAAGCACTCTATCACTGACTGTGTCTGCGGTCCTTCTTCACTGTAACTGAGACATGGTCTTCCCGGGCTCAAAGAACTCCAAGGAAGTGAGGGGGCTAAACAAGTGCTGGAGTGAAGGAGTATCTTCCCGACATGACAAGATACTCGTGGACGCATCACAGCTGTGGTAGTTTGTACAAAACTTGCAGTCAGTCTAGTGACCAGTCCAGCATGAAGTGAGGAAGGAGGACGGCTGCTGGGAGAGAAAAAGTCTTGTTTAAGGGTATGACTGCTTCTAGTGTACCATGCTCCATTGACGGGGCCCAGAGTACAGTCAACACTAAGAACATTCAGTAGGTTATTGGAAAGAATGAGAGAGAGGAAAAGCGAGAGAATTGGGACTGGAGAGAGGAGGAAAACTTAATAAAATACATATAAGCATGTATGCAATCTCAAATAATAAATTTTAAATATTATAGTTTTAAGGTGATTGAAATAAGGCAACAAAGCACAGTGCTAGTTTAAGATAGGAGCTAAGGTGCATAATACATCTCAGGCCTGTACTGTTCAAGAATCCCCAGGACAGTAAGAGGAAACATAGGTAGAGCCTGAAGACGACTCAGGAGGAGACTGAGAAGCTGCTGAGAAGATTCTGTAGGTATTTTTAATTTAAGGAAAATGAAAAAAATTAAATTAGAATTTGAGAGAAGACACTAAAATAGTACTTGCAAGAAATTAGGAGCATGTGTTCCTATATCAGAGAAGAAAAGGGTATTAAACCTTACTTTCCCTGTAAGAAACTACAAAAGTCAACCACAGAAAGCAGCAGTAATGAGAACCAAAACATAATTTAGCAACAGAGAAAATGCAAGTAAAAAGTTGGTCCTTTAGATCAATAAAGCTATCAAATATGTAGCCAAATTCAACAGAAAAGATTTGAATTAGCAAAATCAGATGTAATATAGCAATAGCCCTGATTCTATGTATATTTTAAAATAATGGACTATTATGAAGATTTTTACATCAATAAATTTAATAATTTATGTGAAACTAGACAAATTTTTTAAGAGATATAATTATGAAAACTTATTCATACATACAAAAAATAACTTTGAATCAACTAAAAAAATTTTAAGTATATTTTAAAACCTTCCCACTGAATAAAACTTCATGCCCAGATAACTTTACAACTAAAATCTAACAAATATTTTTAATAATTAAAATGTTAAAATGAATTCATGTCATGGAGTAGCACACGTACGTCAACTCAGTCGTTCTGTGTGTGGATCAGACATCAACAAGTGAAATGATATCAGCTCTAGACAAACTCTTCCATGACGTTAAAGAGATCAAACTCTTTCTTATCCTCTCCATCAGGCCAGTATGATACTAATTTCAAAATCAAGGAAAGACAACTGCAAACCAAATACATTAATATATAAAACGAATTATCTATCATGACCAAATGGAGTTTATTCTAATAATACAAAGTTGGTTTCAATATATATCACCATATTTAAAAAAACGAAAAAACAAAAATTGATCTCAGAAGATGGTAAAAGGCATTTGGGAAAGTTCAATGACCAAGATCTTTAAAAAAAAAAAAAGAATTCTTAGCAAATTTATAATTGATGTTACCTATGAAAAATTATAGGTAGCATTATACCTAATATTGAGAGACTGAATACATTCCTCCTAAGACCAAGGATGTCTGCTCATATCACTTCCATTTAAAATTATAGCAATGAATCAATTCACATATAAATACACACACACAATTTCTTGAGGTTTTGTCTTTTACTATCTATTGTAATGCTAAGTGCTGGCCTCCAAGATTTGGAGTAGGCATGTAGCCTCTGGGACCCAAGTTAATTCTGACTGGTGAATAAAGATGCCAGCAGCCAACAGCTGGAGAGAAGAGATCACATGGACAGGAGAGGAGAAGACATGCAGGAAAAGAGGAAGAAGAGCAGCCATGAGCTAGGAGCCAAGAGAACATGGGCCGGAGGCCTGCCTAGTTGGACTAAGAGCAGCACAGAGGGAACACAGTAAGTAATAACTTGGGTTGTGGATAGGAGGTAGAGTCTAACAACAAAGGGTAGGCAGTTGCCCACCCAACTACTGTGCTGCTTAAGACAAACTAAAATATAAAGACTGTCTGTGTGTGTGTCTTTTACCCAGAAACAAAAACCATTATTAAGGCAGGAAAGAACCCTGTGACAAGATTTTTTTTTAATATTATTACTACATATATTCATATATATACATACACACACATACATATATACATATATACATATATATATACATACATACATACATACATACATACATACATACATGCACGCACACACAAACCATCCTCAATTAAACCAACAACGGATTAGTACTCGGCAAACAAAACATTGAGAGAAACAATAAGAAAACGAAGACATGATATCACACAATAAGAACTAATTCCCACAATTATTTCCAGATAATATACATAAAGATTAGCTCTGTATGTAAGAACTATCTAAGTAATTAGTGTGGTGATAAGATATTAATTAGAAAAGAAATTCAAAAGAACTTAGTGAAAAGAGCATTCGTAATACTGGTTTTGCTAATTTAACAAAGTATTTTATGAGTATCACATATTCACTAAAATGAATAAAGAAGAGGCACCTAATATAAATATGAAATGAGATCTTTAAATTACATACTGAATGTTATTTCATAAGCATGAAGCAAAAACAAAAAAAAGTAAAGCTCCCAAAGCTAAAAAAAAAAAAAAAAAAATGGAAAAGGGAATCTGAGAGCTGGAATAGGCCTGTTTCAAATGTCCAGGGAAGAGAAGGCTACAAAGTTTGTGGAAGGATTATAGTAAGAAAGAAACAAATCAGAGCTCTGCATTAATCAGGTGTCTTGCTCTAAGACTCAATCTAAGTCTCTCTGGATCAGAGTTGTCATTATCCATACAGAGGACAGAACAATTAATCTCCAGATGTTTTCAATGAAATTGAAAGACAAACGCCCCATGAGTCTAACCAAAATCATAAGCTGATATGAGACAGTTAAAACTATACATTTACACAATGGAGTGAGTACTACTCAGCTGTTAAAAACAATGAATTCATGAAATTCTTTAGCAAATGGATAGAACTAGGAAATATCATCCTGAGTGAGGTAACCCAACCACAAAAGAACACACATGGTATGCACTCTCTGATAAGTGGGTATTAGCCCAAAATCTCAAAATACCTAAGATACAACTCATAGACCACATGAAACTCAAGAAGAAAAAAGACCAAAGGGTGGGTGCTTCTGTCCTTCTTAGAAGGAGTAACAAAATACTCATGGGAGCAAGTAAGGAGACAAAGTGTGGAGCAGAGACTGGAGGAGGAACTGTCTGGAGACTGCCCCACCTGGGGATCCAGCCCATGTGCAGTCACCATACCATATAAGCAGGCATGGTTGATGCCAGGAAGTGCATGCTGATAGGAGCCTGATATACCTGTCTCCTGAGAGGCTCTGCCAGAGGCAGATGCTCAAAGCTAACCATTGAACTGATCATGGGGTCCCAAGTAGAGAAGGTAGAGAGAAGACTGAAGGGTCTGAAGGGGCTTGCAGCCCCATTGGAAGAGCAACAGTACCAACCAACCAGAACACCCAGGGTCTAAACCACCAGACATGCTTGGAGGGACTCATGCCTCCAGCTGTATATGTAGTGGAGGATGACCTTGTCAGGCATTAGTAGGAGAGAAGATCCTTGGTCCCATGAAGGCAGGATGCCCCAGTGTGGGGGCATTTGAGGGCAGGGAGGGGAAGTGGGTGATGGGTGGGGCCACATCCTCATAGAAGTAGCAGGAAGGGGGACAGGATAAGGAGTTTCTAGGGGGTGTGGGGGAATGGGGAAAGGAGATAACATCTGAAATGTAAATAAATAAAATATCCAATAAAAAAGATTACCTCTCACATTCAGAAAAAATCAAAACCTTTTGTCTAAGATGAAAGCAACACAGATGTTTGTTCTTTGGTTAATCTCAGAAGCAATTTCAGTTATCTGATTTTATTTGCAATAAGCTTAACTATTGGAAAACAGTCATATTCCAGTACTGTACCTTGTTTGAGCGTAACGACACTCGACCTCCACAACGAGCACAGAACTTGGTTTGGCAATATGAACAGTTATGGCCGCATCCATCTGCAAATTTTGTCTTGTGGCAGATGCCACAGGTCGGGGCGTCGCCCTTCTGCTCCTGCTGCTGCTGTGACTCCTCTCCCATTTTCTTGACTTGCTCCTTATACATTTCAAACTGCTGATGCAGCTTTCTGCAGGAAAAGAGAGAGGTTTAAACACTGGCTTCCTAATCATCAAAATCACTATCTGTGGACATAATTTTACAATCAAAATGTACGAAATGAGAATAAAAACATAAAACTTAATCTGAGAACCACAGAATAATATCTTGTTTACATGGCATATTACATCATAAATGTTGAAATTAGTTCTATCTTTGATATACATATTAACTATAAAAATCAACTGATTATGTTTGTGGAACATTTCCTTGGATATTAAACAAAAATTCTACCATTATTTTTCAATGGTTTATCTTCAGAAATATGGGAAGTCAATTTTATATATACAAAGAAGCCATAATCTATTATCTTAAAACCAATGAGACACAGTTTCAAATGGAGTGAACTAAAGAATCTTACAGAGAGATAAATGCATCTGTTCAATCAGTCTGAACACAGCTTAGCTGTAAAAACAAAATACTGTGAAATACTTTCAGCTTATAAATAAAATTATGCAAATAAAAGTAAAGCCAAGTACACTTTCAAATTAAAATTCTAGAGCCTAGGGAGCTGAATCAACAATTAAGCGCACTTGCTACTATTCAGAGGATCAAAGTTTGGCTCCCAGCCTCAGCTAAGAATGACCTGTAACTCCAGCCCCAGGAGATCTAACTCTCTCTTCTGATATCTTGCACACACATGCACACACACACACATACACGCACACATAAATAAAAATAAAATGAATCAAGAAGAAAACTAGGTTAAGAGAAAAGACATCTAGAAAGATGTTTCATTTACTATTATTATAAACTTTTGTATTTATAAAGACAATTTTAAGTGTTTAATAACCATAATTAACTTAAGATTTAGAAAACTGAAATTGACATCAACTCCAATCCTACCAATGACAAAAGAATGATAATCTACAAAATTATAACTTACTTTGAGCCCATCAGAAAAGAAGTTATCAGGCAAACAATCTAAACCAAGGACACTAAGTATAACTGGTTCATCTTTGACAATAACATAGGAGAAGGAAATAGCACTGTACTGATAGGTAAAGGGATTGTATTATTATTATTATTATTATTATTATTATTATTATTATTTTGTAGGTTGTTTGTTTTTGAGATAGCATCTCATGTAGACAAGAATGACTTTGAACTTGCTACATATCCAAAGATGAGCTGGACTTCTCATACTCGAGCTTCAAGTCTCCATTGCTGGTATTACAGGCACACACAACCACGTCAATTTTATATGGTTCTGGGGACTGAAAGTAAAGCTTCACATGTCCTAGGTAAACATTCTGTCTAAGAAGCTATATCTCCAGAGACAGATCAATTAACAAATTGTGCAATAGCAAGATTCAGCTAACATGACAGCTTCAAACAGCTAAAGACCCAGACTCAAAGAAGGCTGATAACCACAAGTTCTTTGCCTTGTCAAGTTCTCTGGAAGACTTGAAAACACAGCTAAGAGAAATAAATCCCTACTTCTGGGGAAGTGCATATTGCAGGCATTAAAAAGTAAACTGTGGTCGCTGAGGTACAGACATGATTTTCTGACTTTGATAAAATAGTAAGAGCTTTATTTAAGCCATGGGGAAGAAAAGTAGGCACTGTCGATTGAGATAAAGGCAAAGAGCCATCATAGCTAAGGATAAGAAAACCCTTTATCCACAATACAGAAAAAAAACTTGGTTCCAAGATCCTACCCCCAAAAAAAAATCTTTTATCATTAAGACATAGGAAGAAGCTCCTACCTCCAAACTGGATCCAGAACTGGAAATCAAAGCATAACTGTTCCATGGATAGGAGAGAGAAAACTCATAAGGTGACCTATGCTCAAGACCAGGTAACTAGGTCCTGTCAAAACTGGAAGGTGAAAAACATACAGAGAACACCTACTTCCCTACACAGCAATCACCGAGTAATAAGCATCAGAGGTCAACTGCTTGTGAAGATTCAAGTGCATGGAGAGTAATATATGGAATCCTCATACGAGGGAAGCGTGTAAGGACGGCCGGAGCATGGAAGCGTCCTCTAGCAACCATCGTAAGTGCAGGCAAAAGCAGCTTGCTTCCTTGGAAAAATTTTCTGACTATGTTCCACTGAAGACAGTGAGGGCAATCATAAAATTCAAACCTATCTGAATTCTTGATTTGCTTCATGTTTCAACTCTCAACACCAGCAGCATGATGGAAAGGGAATGTCCACTTCAAGGTATGCAACTCAAAGACATAGCAGAGACACAAAAACAAAGAATAAATAGTCTGCGGCCAGACACCTAGCAGATTCAGAGATGACACGGATTTGAGAATAATAACATTCTTGAGGGACTAGGACTGGAACACAAGGAGTGGAAGAGAGAAACGGGAATGACATAATTATACCTTAATTACAAGTTTTTAATTATTAAGATAAATAATATAGAAAAGGTACACATTCATGAACAAACGGTTATCCTATAAATAACAGATAACGTTCTCTTATAAAAAATAAAATAAAAGATTTCCTTAAAAGGAAAGAAAAAAAGATTCAACTGTAGGCTGCCTATAAGACTCACTTCTCCACTAAGGAAGGATACACAGACTGAAAGCAGAACTATTTCATGCCAATGGAAATTGACAAAGCAAGTTGTAAAGCAAGTTATAAAACTGTTCCATGGATATCAAAGCAAGATATCAGACGTTCCTTATATCTAATAATAAACTACTATGTTTGTAAAAAGATACAAAGTTCTATTATAATAAATTCATCAAAACGCCTGATGAACAGTGAAACAACAGAATACATAAGGCTAAGGAGAAAATAAGCAGGAGTAATGGATTCTCTCGGCTCGCTGTCAACAATCTACAGAGCATCTAAACAGAAGAGCAATATAAAATAAAGGGCTTGAAGTGAACTTTGGATAAAATAGGACAAAAATAAGTAACAGTTCTATATCAAAATAGTGGAATGCACATTTATCTCAAGAGCACACATGTACAACATTCCACGATATGAAACACAAAACAATATGAAAGCTTTTGAAAATTTTACAAATATGTGAAACTTAAATAACATTCGTTGTTAATTCATTGTCCATTAATAACCTACAAGTCCGGAATCTACAGTCACGTGCCAAATGATGATCCTCCAACCAATGGTGAGCGGCCCAGATAACAGTAGCATCGTGAAATCTGAATACAGCTCTGGCCTACATGTGTACAGTAGACTGTGCTGTTTAGTTTATGTTATTATACTGTGTGATATCTGCAGAGTGATGAAGTCATCAACTTATACCTTCCTCATAATATGTCCCCACTGTTAAGTGACATACAACTGTACAAGGGACAAGTCCACATCATCGACCCCAAGTTTTACACTATTTCTTTTGTTACCTTCTAAAGTTATCCGTCTTTCTTTTAATCCTTCACATATGTACTGCCTGGTTTTGTGTGTCAACTTGACACAAGCTGGAGTTATCACAGAGAAAGGAGCCTCCCTTGAGGAAATGCCTCCATGAGATCCAGCTGTAAGGCATTTTCTCAATTAGTGATCAAGAGGGGAGGACCCATTGTAGATGGTGCCATCCCTGGGCTGGTAGTCCTGGGTTTTATAAGAAAGCAAGCTGAGCAACCCAGGGGAAGCAAGCCAGTAAGTAACATCCCTCCATGGCCTCTGCATCAGCTCCTGCTGCCTGATCTGCTTGAGTTCCAGTCCTGATTTCCTTTGATGATGAACAGCAGTGTGGAAATGTAAGCTGAATAAACCCTTTCCTCTCCAACTTGCTTCTTGGTCATGATGTTTGTGCAGCAATAGAAACCTGACTAAGACAACACACATCATGTGTTCCAATACATGCTTTCCCTGCCTTAGATCCATGTTTCTCTCTCGAGTCCTGTATCTCTCTATGCATCACCTACCGTCTATCTATTTATATGTCTATCGTTTATCTGTCTATCTATCTGTCTATCTATCTACCTGTTACATGCCTATCTACCTGCCTATCTATCTACCCCAGTATCTGTGTAGCCCAGGCTGGCCTAGAACTCAAGATCCTCCTGCTTAGACTCAACAAAGAGAGAGGACTGCAGATATGTGCTATCATATCTAACAGAAGAAAAGACTCTCAAACCTGAAATCATGCCCAAGGCACATACAGCAGTGAGAACACTGAAGTCTAACTACTAGACAGAAAAAAAAAATGCCACATTTTTCCGGTTTCTGATGAAGTTCATTCAAGTTGACTGCCACTCATATCAACTACTAATTTGTATCTTTTACCAAACACTCTGGATTTGACAAAGCAAAGATATCAGACATTCCTTATAGCTAATAAACTACTATGTTTGTAAAAAGATACAAAGAAAGTTCTATTATAAGAAGTGCTTACATATAATCCTTTATAAACTTAAACACAGCAAAATCTTCGCCAAGTCTATGGTGTAATTGCTAATGTTGTACTCTGAAGTTGTCAATATATCAATTTCTTCATTCATTACTGTGATTTGACTGGTGTGTGTGTGTGTGTGTGTGTGTGTGTGTGTGTGTGTGTGTATTTATGTATGTGTAGGCACATATATGTGCACACATACATGTGCGTGCACCTAGCTATGTTACACACAAAAATTCTCTAGTCTCTTCTGAATAGCCTTATAATTTTACCTCTCACAGCTAAGCTTTTAATCGATCTGAAGTTTATTTTTATATACAATGTGACACAGAGATTTAATCGCAATGTTCTTTATATAGATATTCTACTTCCCCATCATCATTTATTAAGTAGTTAACGTCTCTTCCACCAATTTGTGATATCAGCCTATCATATATTAAGTTCCATACTTACACAGATGGACACAATACTGTATTTCATTGGTAGTTGTGTCTACTCCTACTCCAGAACAATATTGTCAAAACCAAACTTGAAATACAATAAAAGGTCCCACAGATCTTAAATACATAAATTTGAATATATAACCATCTGGTAAGGTAGTCAAAAGATAATACACTTTTCTGCAAAGGACTGCATAAGATTTTAGG